GTATGTGTAAAGACAAATTCCTAATGCAAGAAATTGTATATGGCTAATAAAGTTATCTTATCACATCTGAAAACCAGTTAAAAGTATTAAAGCTCTTTTCTTGTGTGTCATTTCTATTTGATGGTTTCTACATTATGGTAGAGGAAGTGACAGCACTATGGATAACACATGCTTGTCCATTTGAGAAAAATGGAACAGCCAAGTGTGGCAATGTGTTTCAGATGATACTGTTAACAGGTGCTGTCTCTATTGAAGATTTCTATCTTTAATTCAGATAATTCAGGTTATATAATTAACATGTTTATTTTAGTTTAAAGTTTTCATTTGGGTGAAATATTTTCTATATCAAACAACCAGTGTTTACACCCCATTTAAAAAAGAGAAAAATAGAACAATATTCAATGAATATCATTTCTGGTACATGATTTTCTGTCTTTTTCCTATCTTGTTTAGATGCAGAGGCTGTCAAGTCAAGACAAACCACTATGAGTTATACTAATTATGTATATAATAACTAAATTATGAGTTATGTCATAATTTAGGTCCCTATAGGTTTTCTGAATGTTGATTGAGGATTAAGAATGTGAGAAAAAGAGAAATCAAACAGAAAGCTCTCAAGTGATGCCCTTGATACAGGTAATGCAAAAATAGCAAAAATAAGGCAATGCATTTGTTAAAGTCAAACTTAGCATTTTTTATTTGTTTTTAACATCTATCTTGCCTGATAATCAGGCATATTAATAATAAGCATAGATTGCTTGAGAAAGTATTTAATTAAATACAAGGCACATATTTTAAAGGACATAACTCATAAAATATTCATTCAATTGATGGTTATTCTGTAACTTTGTAGTTTTTTTATCATGGAGCTTCTAACAGTATGTATTGTATACATTCTTTTATATAAATATATATATACAGTGAAGGCAAACTACTTGAATGTTCATAAATAAAACTTTTAAAATGGCAATGGTACCCAAAAGCAGACAAAGAAACCTTAAACAATTCAATGCCTCTTTAAGTATTTCAATGTCGCTGTGAAATGATAACAAACTGGTTTAAATGTCATATGTTATGTTAAAAACTAAAAATATTTTCCCCATGTTTGATGCATAGTTAGTGGGTAAAAAACTAATTAATTTGCCTATTCAGCACCAGCAGTATCACTGTGCAACTCACAGCTGACAACCCACTGAAGCTAAGCAGGTGTGAGCCTGGTCAGTACCTGGTTAGTACCTGGATAGGAGACCTACTGGGAAAAACTATTGCTGCTGGAAGAGGTTTTAGTGAGCCCAGTAGGGGGCGCTCACCCTGTGGACTTGTGTGGGTCCTGATGCCCCAGTATAGTGGCAGGGATACTATATTGTAAAAAGGCTCCGTCCTTCGGATGAGATAAAAAACCAAGGTCCCGACTATCTGTTCAAATTTCCCCTTGACCAATCATGGCTTCCTAATAATCCCCATCTATGATCTGGCTTCATCACTCTGCTCTCCTCCTCGCTGATAGCTAATGTGTGGTGAGCATTCTGGCGCACTATGGCTGCTGTCACATCATCCAGACGGTTGCAGCATATTGGTGGTGGTGGAGGGGAGTTCCCATTACCTGTAAAGTGCTTTGAGTGGAGTGTCCAGAAAAGGGCTATATAAATCTAAGGATTAGTAGTAGTACATTTTTATATTGCATTCACCCTTGTCACTTCCACAATTACTCAATTAATTGTCTATACTATCCAGAAAAGAAATGCAAAACCCCATTGATTAACTTTATTTCTTATATCTCTGAATAAAATTAAGATGTACGCTATGAAATACACTAATTGATTAATGTCAATGTGTGTTGTCATCAAATGATACTGATGCAAGATCAAACAGTGCATTAGTATTGGGCTTGTCTTGTAGCAAGGACAGATAAGCGGTGAGTACTCAAACTGGGGTGATGTAATTAGTTGTTTATCACAAGGATCTGTTCTAGGAAATCTACTCTTCCTACAGTAATTTTCTGTATATCAATGATTCTGGTATGGTTAATAATCTATGCAAATTTGCCAAATATACAAAATTAGGAGGATTACCCAACACTGTAGAACCAGCAAGTCAAATACAACAAAAGATTTAGAGAAAATTCAAGACCTGATGACATGTTATGTAGACAGGTGTCTGATGCAGGAAACCTCATTTATTTCACTTGGATAACCCTGACAACACACAAAGGACAGCAGGATACCAACCCTGGACTTTGCTGAAACTGTTCATAATCGGGATTAATGCCACAACCATAACCCTGTTGTCTAGGAGGTTAACCCCTAGGCCTTTGATGCTCAGAGGTACTGTATATCTTCTTTTTGTTTTTCTCTCCTCCATGCTCTCATGGTGTATTATGTATTAAGGAAAACAATTGTAAACCCCCAAAATTGAGAAATGAAAATACACAAAACTGTGTTGTTACTGTGTTAAAGAAGTATCAAAATTTACATTTTTAATGAAGATCTGTCTTAGTCAGGATATTCAGTTGTTTAACATAAGAAGCTTTCTGGCAAAAAAAAAAGCTATTTTTTACCTTCTATCAGGATTTAGTTTTCTGTACGGTACCAGAAGGCATTTGTTTCTTATACATCCTGTATTTGCTGATAATACTTTTTTTATTTTTATAACAGTAATATTTTTTTACTTTTGAGTGCCCACCTCATGGCTTTATTGAGGAAACAACCGCACAGATTATTTTAACCACTATTGGGGCAACATTGTACCATGCCCATTTCAGGTATGAAGGTGTACCAGCATGCTTTCATAACAGTGTGAGACTTGGTATTAGTGCTTAATGGCAACATAGTGCATTACTGGAAACAGGAAAGAAGTGAAAATGAGATTCACAATGCACCAAAGAATTACACCAAAAGCAAGATACTAATTGGCATAGGACAATTAAAGTTAATTAATTAATATTTTAATGTAGATATACTGTACATTTTTCTAGAGATTTTAGTAGGAGATTTAATGCCAAACGATCATTGTTAAGACCTCAAAATAATTTCTGATGAATGAAGACTGTAAGATATGAAATACTGGATAGTGGAAAAATGATATAAAGTATCATCTACTGTATATCTGATGTGCAAAATCAATAGTCTGATGACATTAAATTTAAAATCTTCACAATGCCCGTTTGTTTTGTAGAACAGATAGTGAATATTATAATTCAGTGTGTCTTTAGACAGCTGTGAAACACTCACTTGCTCTCAGAAGATTTGGGGACATGTCTCAGAAACCTCTTAAAAATAAAATGTTGATAATGTAACACACACAGCTGTAGAAATAGTGTGATCCAAAAGCAATTTATTTTTCAATATGCCCATGAATCCTAAATATAATGCAAATTAATATCTTGCAATTACACAATGTAAATACCAAATCCACAATAATTATCATATTATGAGAGTATCACCTTATGAAACAATCCAAACATTCTATCTAGCTATAATTCTCTACATAAAGATATGAATTTTGGACAAAAAGCTACTGACATATATTTGTTTTCATAGCATATGCATATGTGGAGCACTATTTGCAATATTATATAGGCTATTAGAAGAAAAGAAAGAATACCACATTTCCTCATATTTAATTTGATACTGTTTCTCTAGCTCTTACAAAGAGATAGCATGCTACATACATATTTATGTGTTATGGAGGATTTGCGAACTGCGTGAGTAAAATCACTTGATTTAACATCTTATCATGCCAAATCCAATCCAAGTGTTAGAATTATTGCCTATCTATTGACATTTGTAGATCATGCTCGAGTTCTGCTTAAGAGTTCAAAGGAAATAAAAAGCGAGATTGAATGGAATAACCTGCTGTTTTATGATTGTTGTGCTTTAAAGCAGTATGTGAGCAAACATCCAAACAAATGAAAATCTTTAAAGTCTCACACTCTGATTTTGTTATTGGGTGTTTTTTATATATGCGTTAAATGGTTTCAAGTTTAAATTTTGTGCATCATGCCACAATATAAGAGCAGTCCTAAACTCTTAAATTTGTATTTCATACTTAGATTACACAAACATGCATGAACTCCATGAAAGTTATTACATTAAGAACATAAGGTTACACATGAGAGGTGGCCATTCATCTGGCAAGTCATCTGCCCAGTTCGGTTATTAGTTGCTTATTAATCCAAGGATCTCATTAAGCCATTACTTGAAGGAAGCCAAGGCATCAGCTTCAATCACTCATAAATAGGAGCTTTTCTTTACCCAGAGTGTTACATACATTGTACTGTCCTTTGATTTCAGCTAGACTTTGCTTTCCTTCAACAATTCGTCCTGGTAATCTGTATCTGCTAGCTTCAGCTTCAGTCAGATTTGATTTTTTTATATTTGATATTTAACTTAGACCCTGAAAAAATGAAAACTTTCACTTAAATTACAGATGAACAAATTTTTCAAATATTGGTCTAGGTAGTCTAAGTATATTAAACCTTTAAGGTCTGAATTTGTGGAGATAAAGAATAACTGAAACTATAAGTAAGAATGTATATCTACTTAATTTCCCCCCTCTTCATAAATCATCAAAATTGTATGTATCTTCTTTATTTTGAATGTATATAGTTTGGTTTAGAAGTAAAATAATTGTAATACACTGTATATACAGTATAAAATATGAATCAACTATATTTTTAAGTATGATGTATATCAGTATTTTTTTATTATAAAAGGATTGTTGTGTAATGTCATCTGTATTTACAATTTTGTTATCTGTTTCTCAAAAATAAAAGTTAAAATTAGACAAAATGAAAACCTGTTAAAACTCTGGACATTAACTGTGAAGAAATGCTGCTATTTTTAGAATGGAATGTAAAGTAGGTAGGCCACTGTAAAGTGTATTATTGAAATAGTACAGTGATACATTAAAAAGTTCTCAGTCTGTATTTCTGGTGGATTATTGTTTTGATTATGAAATGTCTGTTCATTTTTAGCTGACTTTAACCTAATGTCTTACAGACTTTCCAACAGAGGGGAAGGAAGGCTGTGAGATATGGCATGTATGCTCAGGAAGATTGCAACACCATTTCCTGGACTTTGGGTTTTCCTTATGGTTTTCTCCTCACTCGCACAGACAGGGTAAGATTCACCAGTTCTTTTTTCTTTGAGACTCATGTGTCTCATTTTTTTGCTAATCCTCTCATTAATAAAGCTTTACTGATGAAAGTTTTGTGATTTGCAATTGTCATTTTGATCCGGCCTCTGCGGGGTGAAATGCGAATTGGATTTCCATCAAAATGAGGGCTCAGTTACAAGAATGTCTCAATAAGCCTAAAATGACTTTAGCTCTCAGACCTGAGGGACAGAAAGACACAGCTTATCCTAGATTGCTTGTCTTGTAATGGTTCCACTCATCTCATATTACACATTAACAGATTTGTTATTTCATAATTGTTGGTAAAAGACCAAAGCTGCAAAATTTCAGGTTGAGCACAAAGCCTTTTCTTTTGGTTTGTGTGTACAGTTCAGATGTACCCCTTTTGGACATGGCATGACTTTGATTCAATCAGGTTATAACATTTTTTTTTTGCATTTTATCCACCCCTGATAAATTCGCCCAGCCTTTGTTCATGGTAATAGTGTGCCCTATTATATGGTGATGTTTTTAGATATACTATTGATGTCCTCATACTTGAAAAGACACAAAATATGTGGCCCTTTTTATGACAAAATGCTATTACTAGGGTGTTTGCTATTTAAAAATAATAATAAAAATCCAATACCAGCTGTCTTTTTTCCATTCCCAGAAGCTACAATATTCAATTCCAGTGGTTACATCAATTCACTGGTTTGTTGTAAAGCAGGTGGAGCTGAGTATTATGTGGATGTGTGACCTTTTCCATCTGTGTGTGTCTGTGTGGTCTGCATACACATTAACTGTAGATAATAATTATGTGTGTCTTGTCACTTTAACAGCTACTCTAAAGGAATCTGTCAAAGAAATAAATTGATTGGAGTCTCCCTATGACTAAACCAATTTTGTAAGTAATGCAAGCAGAGAGAGAGGTAGAGAAAAAAAATAATTAAATTCTACAGTACACATAAGAGTTAGTAATAAAAAAACTTCTATTTAGGCAACAGTGATTTATTATATACTGTGCCATGTTAGCAGATGGAAAAAACATGGACAGTGGCGGATTTAATGTGACATAACAGAGTTGGGTTTCTAATATAAATAACTTTGAGGGTTTTTTATTATTCACTTTAAAAATGTATTTCTCGCCATCGAATATCTAATGCATTTTTAATCAGTACAAAATAAAAGGTGAACAAGAGTTCACATTGAGCTATGTTCTCCATCAACATATAATGCAGCAATTTAACTGCCCAGATGCAGCCTTTTCACTTCTTTTACAAAGCAACACAGCCTTAATGTTTGGATTTGTTATTTGTTCTTAGAATAATTTAAAATGAAAACCCAAAGAAAAAAATTATATCAGGCTGAATAAAGGAATATTTGGATTTAACAGATTTAGGTCTATAAGAAACTTGAAATATTTCCCTCCTCTACCCATTTCTTAAACTCAACTGCCTGAAGTGCTTTGTGACTTAAGTGAGAGGCCCAAATAATTTGTATTTATTCAGCTGACCCATTTTCTTTCACGGTCATGTCTGGTTGTTTTTGAGGGAGGGAATTTGAAAAATCTGGTTTTGATAAGCCTTTCATGATTTCCAGCACTTTGTTCATTCACTTCTTCCAAGTAACATTAACTTTTAGGTTTCTCTGGAGTTAAAAGTGATCCTAGTGATTTTAAAATGCTTGTTTAGAGCACTGTCAAAACAAAACATTAAAAAACGTCATGCAGCTCCAACATCTTAGTAGTATTAGACATTAGTTGGCCCATATTAAAAGATGTTTAAATATCTGAAAAGAGATTAATTTTAGATAGTGCAGTTTGTTTTTCATTTGTTTGGATCATTCTTTTAATCTAAATCAAAACTACAAATTGCATGTGCTATGTTAATTTTACTGACATCTCTCAAGAACGTGAAGGCTAATAACATTGCATTTTCTGCATTTTCACTGTAGGTGCTGTGAGGCATGTGGTAGACTAATGAGAGTCAAAGGCATCCCCTTTAGTGATTTTTGTGCTCAATAACTGGTTGGAACTAGTAGGATTTGAAGACTGAAAGTGTCATGTTAGATTAAAAAATGAGACGTGTCATACCAAAATAAGTTTGTAGCAGAAAGAAAAAAAGGACCTCCTTTCTATATACTTTCTAATATAAATTTTACCCAGTTTCAACATAAGGAGGTTGGTATTTTATATATACAGTAACACTTATCTTGAGGAAAACTGCAATGAGTATTTAGAGGTAGATTGGCAGCCTGCAGTACAGTACAGTATATCGCCCTGCATCAGCAGAACTGTCTACACCAGGTTATCCAGTTTTGCTGAGACACACAGTGACTGGCACAACCTCCCATATCAAAAACCAACTTTCATAAAGTAAAAATCCTTTGTCAGCTTCTGTGACTGTGTTGCTGTAATTGTCTGTTGGAGACATGGCTTATAGGATAAACCCAACAATTATTTGAATGTGAAGAAGAAAAACTTTTTTATTTAGATACAGTATTTGGTCATGCTTTTTTATGAAGATTTAAGAGAAATGTATAGGATGCTGGACACATTAACGTGTATGGTGGCTTTGAAACTGCACCCAGAAGTGACATAAAATCAATGGCTACAGTGGAGTTGTTGTGCATCAAGATGTATTATATATGGATTATCTTCAAACCGCTGTTCTCGTTAACTGTCTAGTGTTAATTATTCAGATTCCAAGAGGAAGTGTTTTTCACTGGCAAGATGTATGGCTCATCTCAGTTCTGGCTAGATAATTGAATCGTGGCAAGACAAAATGATGGGATGTTAGTTTTTGAGTTCCTACTAAGTGTGACATTTTTCTCTATGTGTGGTATCAGCCGTGTTATTCTGAGAGGGGATTTTGATTAAATTGATGCTAATGTTCTTTTTTATTTCCACATATTTGATTAGACTTCTTTAGAAGCCTAAAGGATCTATAGTAGAGACATAGCTCCATAGCAAATCATTAGGCTATCACAATTTTGTTGCAAGCAATCATATTTTAGATGGAAAGGTGACATTGTTCTAACTTAGTACATAATTGTATATGTACAGTGTTATAAACATCTTAGTACAGTATATGCAAAATGGAATGAGATCTGTATGCTTATTTTAAAAGATTACTGGTAAAACATCTGTGGTTTATTTAGAATCATGGATATCTGAGCATCATGGACTGGATGATGGTCTCTTTCTGGGGAAATGGAGCTCATCAATATCCTGATGGGAAGGTGCTGGTTCCTTTTTAAACACTGTCCCCTTAGTACTGCAGTATGCTGTGAAATCAATTGTATATTGATCACTAGCTAAATATATAAAAATGAACAGCATTTTTTCTAAATCTGAAGTGATCATTTTGTGAGTCAGCTATTGCAAAGTCCAAACATTTTTTCCAGTATAAAGATCTTAATTCAGGAGCTAGTTATAAACTCTTTCAACAGTTTCAGCTGATACCTCTTGGAATGCGTTTATTAAACTACCCTGGCTGGGGAGGATGTGGTGGATTTGGAGATAACTTGGAAGACAAACAGGAAAATCGATATTGCTAAGTAGACGTCTATCTTTTCGCTAACAATTTCACAGCTTTTAACCCTTCAATCACAATACTTTTATTAGAATGGAATAATATTTACTGACATCAGATTCCAAGATGCTCTATAAAACCTTAAGATATTTCAATATTGATGATTACTTGCAACTGTTTTGTTTTAATTGAGAACATCCAGTATTACAAATAGGGCTATCTGAATTTTAATTTATTTTATCATCAATAAACATAAAGTATAAGAACGCATAGATTATTTTCTATTTATAGTCAAGAAATCAACTGATGGATTTAGAGCAAATGTTTTTAAGGCAGCAGCAACCTGATATTAGGACAGAAAATAAGGAAGATCTTTTTTTTTTAAATGTGCCTGTTATTTGAAACTCTATTTGACTGTCAAGTCTTTATTTGAGGTTAATGAAATTGTTTTTTTTTTTATTATGGAAATTGTGCTTCCTGGAGTTTTAATGACTTCTGCTAACAGGCTTATGCTCTGGAGTCCATTTTGCAAAATATGAGATGAGAGAACATCAGATTGGGATAAGTGTCATGGGTTTCTTAGTACATGTCTTCAGGACATTGATGAATATCTGAACAATCTTCACCTTAACCTTAATCATAATAATTGCTTTTGTCCCTGTGCACAGCAAATATATGCGAACCCACTGGCTTGAAACCACTCTGAGCTAATCTGTCAATAAGAAAAAAGAGCCAATGAAGCAGCCTAATGAATCTATTTTAATGTGCTATTCATGTTATTTTTTGTTTTCCTTTTCCTCCACTTCACAAGCAGAAGCATTAGAAATATTGTCAATAAAAGTACAAAACAGTTTTTTTTAGAATGTATCCTTCCATATTTATCTATATCCAATATTATCAGCAATATCCATGGTAAGTTTGGGGTCATTGCTACGCTTTGCTGCTGTCACTAATTTCCCATATAATCTAAATTATTTCTGCAGACCATTGTATTGATTTCTGTGTTTTTGTGACACAACAGCATTACAAATCCCATTAAAATACTTAAAAATCAGAGACTGAAATGAGCCCTGAATACATTAGCATATTGGGCAGCCTCTAGAGCATCTGTGGAAATCATAGTTTGAGTCTTCCATTCCCAGGAGTCTTCATTGCTACTGTAAGAAGGCCTGCTTTACAGAATAGACAGCAATTCTTACATAAATAAGACATGTTCAGTATCACATTCAGTGGCTAAAAGGAAGACTTGACTCTGTCCAACAAACAGACCAAGACAGATTCAAATTATGATCTGGAGCAGTGCCACCTTTTTTTAGTAGTAGAAATAATAATGAAACATCTGTGTGTGGAATGACTGTTAAGTTTAGGATCAATCCTTTATGTGGAAGCACTTGACTCTATACACACAACAGATGTTTTGTATAATAAATGTATCATTTAGTAACGATAGGACTACACAAGGTTATACT